GGGCAACAGTGAATTACCATATCGACCTAGTTTGTGTTACGAATTTAGCAAAACATGCCCCCCAGTCTGATACACTTGCTTTCTCTGCTAGTGTTCCCATGATAGCCTTCACATTCCACTTGATGGTTGAAAGGTTACCTTTACTATTCCTTTTTACCTTTCCACCTGCAGGTTGCATCTTTAATGACATGTCTAGTCAAAACAAAATTATAAATAAAAGATGTCGAAACATAGCCCAAGAATTTGATGATACCTTTCTGCATTATAGATCGAAGTGCTAACATAAATATTTGTGCCGATACAGTTAGTGTAGTGGTACAACACATTGAAGGCTTGATATACAACAGAATTGGCATCGTTATAGAGACATTGTTACACCTTTTCATGAGAGGAAAGAGTCTACTGCGTATGGCATTTAGAGAAAACTGTAACCAATTATGTTCAGCCAATTATCCTAGTACACTCCGTGAACGAACAACAAGAGCTGATGAGGCAACAAATTGGTTCTCAGTGCTCAGTGCTCTTTCATCTCCATCCATAGCTCATTTATTTGAGATGTGATCTGACAAGATCTTACAGCACCTTGCATTACCAGTGATACGCGAGAAATTCAGGTGGCTAAAAGGATTTCACTGTTGGTATATTTTATTCCTTGTCAGCTATTATAACAAAAACATCCTTAACTGACCACCTTCTTCTCTCTGTTTTGGCCGGGGGATTGATGATAGCTTTTTCTGCATTAGCAAGACGGTAACCAATCACAATCTCTCTTCTTTGTCGCGCACGTAGGAGCACTTCGTAAAAACTCAACTCCTCACCCTCACAAAGGTAGAGATCTGCCCCTCTTATTTGCATCTCATTTCCCTGCAATGTCAAAAAGGTTTTTATTAGTCATGGACAACAATAATAACTGCAGCCTTAATATAGGTCGCAGAATACTAGCATGATAGGAAAGGATTTCATGCTTCAACATCTAGAGAAACATTGAATACTCTCAATTTTTAAAATTTTGAAGCAAGTGATATAACTGTCTCAAGTTTATAAAAATGAGGAATGTGTCCTAACTGACATTTACGGATGGAAGGTTTGATAACACAACTGAGAGTCAAATGTTGTGAAAGTTTTACATGGTACTTTATTTTTCTGATTCTGATTCTGCTTCAACTTGGATGTCAGATATACTAGCATTATAGGAAAGGATTTCATGCTTCAACATCTAGAGAAACATTGAATACTCTCAATTTTTAAAATTTTGAAGCAAGTGATATAACTGTCTCAAGTTTATAAAAATGAGGAATGTGTCCTAACTGACATTTACGGATGGAAGGTTTGATAACACAACTGAGAGTCAAATGTTGTGAAAGTTTCACATGGTACTTTATTTTTCTGATTCTGATTCTGCTTCAACTTGGATGTCAGATCCTTTTCAATTTCTTTTTAGGAAAGTATAAACTCTTTATAAGTGGAATATGCTAAAAGAGATGGATTCCAATCAACGCAGCGTAAAGGGTATTAAAGCCCTATTTTGGAAATCTACAGCAAAGTGACTCTTTCTTTCTAATTCCATGGCTAATATGGTTCGTTGGTTTGTTGTTCTGTTTCTAACATCAACGGAGAAAATGGAGTCCGGTATAGCTTGTACTCTTTTATTTTTCACTCTTGTATTTTGTTTTTGTTTTTTCTTTTCTATTTTGATATGTTTAAAGATATATGTATAGTGTCATGTTACTTGAGTTGTTAGCTTTCCCTAATAAACGGAGTGTTGGATCTCCTATAATAACCCGGATGTACATAATCCCTAAAAGCTCACTGTCTGCATACTGGATGCTAAGTTGCTCGGACACAGGTGCGGATCTAGAGGTCGGATCCTTCAAGATGCAAATTTTAAGATTCGGGAATACGGATCCTAGAACGGATACGGGTGCGGGGATGCGGCTGAAAATAATTCAAAAAAATAAATATATCCAAATTATGAGAAATTTGTGGAATACTTACGTATAGCTTGTAAAGTGTCAATTCTTTTTTTAATTCTCAAGTTGTAGATAAGTAAATGATTGATTTCCTAGATAAGGTCATGCTATTTTCTTCAAATTTACCCTAATTTTGGTTCTGATTTCGGGAATCAAATTATATCTCGTCTCAAGTTTTTTCGTCCGTCATGGTCAAAATACCCAAAATTATTTGACCAGATCCGGTACAGATCCCATACCCACACCCATACTAGTGTCGTGCCAACACGAGTGCGACACCTAAACTGCCGTGCCGGAGCAACTTAGACTGTGTACTGGGGCAGAATGTGGCTCCTCTAATACTTGACAGAGAAAATCAAGAAACCCAGTAAGCATGACTCATGCCAGTTGCCTCACCTCTTCAGCGAAAAGTTCTTCCAAAACATCATTTATTTGACGGTCCTCTGCCACCATGGCCAATGCCATGCTAACAAGCTCATTTGACAAAACATAGTCACTTATCTTTGACATAGACAAGAGGTTTTTAGTCCTTGGGTCCAAAATTTCACTGATTATAACTGACTTATCTGAAGCCTGCTGCATCTCCTCTCTCCAGGAGCCTTGGGAGGAGCTACCCCTGTGAATTTTGGAAGCCATAGCTTCTCTATATGGAAGGCGTTTTGCCTGCGAAACCAGAAAAAAGATTTCTGAGTGCAAGATCTGATGTCGCAGCTTTAACAAGATAATACAAAAACATTGCCACTTTACTGGAACAGAAATCATGCATCGAAATGAAACTCAATGGGGCAGATGACTTGATTCTTCCTTGAGAAATCTTATATCTTTGCAGTTAAATTTGGAAAAATTTCTAATTGTTCAATGGGTAAGAGGACTTGTACTTCCATTCCTGATCCTGTCAATAGTGTCCTTCATTGAGTAAAGTATATTGGGGTCCAAGGTTACTTATCAAGAGCAAACTACCGGTTCTGTTGAGGGAAGACACCAAAATTTGCACATGAATGTAGTAATACTGCTGGAAGAACCCATGCCAGAAAGGAAATAATGCAGGTGGTTGATGACAAAGACTGACAAATCAGTCATGAATTATGAGGCAATCTGATCGGCTAGACATGGGGGACAGGGAAAAAGAAAACAGAACCTGGTTGAACCTGGAAACTTGAAATATACTACACATAAAATTTTAAAAAGGTGTAATTTTCCACTTGGTTGGCAATGAGAGGAGCCATACTGAGCTGAAAATTTGAGAAAAAAGCAGATTATATGTCAGCTGGCTCTTCATGTGCAAATGTCCAGGTGAAGATGTGGACAACCTACCCCTACATTTGTTCGTGGCAATTCGCTTATGGTGTGAGATTTCGAATTAGGTTTGGGACGCAATGATGACGCCCCGCACAGTGAAGGAGTTACTCTCCAGCTGGAAATTCACAAGGAAATTTTTTTGAAGAGCTTGGTATGTTGCTCCACTAGCACTCATATGGGTCCTGTGAACGGAAGGAAATAGGAGATCTTTTGGTGGGATAGAGAAAAAGTTTTTAACGGGATAGAGAACAACTACGTACATTTGAGGAATAGCCCCTCATCCCTAGTTTATTTTTGGTGTACTCATGAGGTTACAGGGTGTATAGTAGACTGGATGTCATTCGGAGAGAATCATATTATGTCATATACTAAACGACATGAAACAACATGGATCTATTTTTTTGTGAAAATCATTGTACAGGATTTCTACCTCTTTCTCTTCTTATGTCAGATTAGAAATTCTACATGGAGTCCTCCTTATTTCCTTTTCTGTGCCTTGTTAGATTAGCACTAGGATCAAATGTAAATAGTGAAAACTTCTAGCAAGAAGAAAAGGCTTTTTGTATTTCTATGATGATTGCTACATCCCATGAACAAGGGAATTTATATAAAGTTCCCACTCATAACTTTTTCTTTGATGAAGTGTCGTGCAATTTCAACACGTCATACTGGATTGGATAATGAGTTATACTGATGGCAGCCTTGTTGTCACAGTATAAGGAAAGTTTTCCCTTTCTTGACAGTCTCAATTCCTCTAGTAACTTTTGCAACCAAAGAAGTTCACAAACACCCTGGGTCATAGATCTACTATGCTCTCGCACTTGATATAGCAACTACACTTTGCTTCTTGAATTAAGTAAGTTCCCTCCAACGAGTGTACAGTAACCGAATGTAAATCTTCTGTCATCTAGAGATCCAGCTCAATCAACATCTATATACGCTTCTACTTGGAGGTGATCAAGTTTGGAGAAAAGTAGACCTTTGCAACTTCAGATACCGTAAAATGTAAAAGACAACTTGCATATGAGGATCTCGGGGATCATGCATTAACTGACCTATCAAGCTGACTGAATAGGTTATATCTGGTCTAGTGTGGAAAAAATGAATAAGTCTTTCCAACCAACCTCTGATATCTCTCCTAATCAACAGACTCTCCAACTCATGTTTGTAACTTGTGATTGTTTTCAAAAGGCGATTCTGCTAGTTTGCAATTTGTAACTTGCCGAGGGTCTATCGAAAACGTCTCTACCTTCTCTACCTACACAAGGTAGGAGTAAAGTTTGCATACACACTACCCTCCCCTGACTCCACTTGTGGGATTTCATTGGGCATGTTGTTGTTGAGAAATAAAGATTCCCTTTTTTGATCTGGCAACCTCAATTCCTAAGAAATACTGCAATTTTCCAAGATCCTTGATCTCAAATTCCTGTGCCAACAACTTCTTCAATCGGACACTCCTTGTTGTCATCTCCTGTCATTGCTATGTCATCAACATAAACTATGAGAAGAGTGACTTTATTGCTTTGATGTCTTATGAAGAGAGTACGATCGGCATTGGTTTGTTGGAAACTAAAGGATGTCATTGCTTTGCAGAACCTGTTAACTCAAGCTCTAAGGGATTGCTTCAATTCGTATAGGGCTTTATTCAGTCTGCACACCTTTCCTTGACTCTGTTCAATATCAAATCTAGGAGGAATCTCCATACACACCTCTTCTTCATAAGTCTGAGTAAATCCCTTAGCCACCAATCTTGCTTTGAATTTTTTAATTGAGCCATCAACTTTGTGTTTCATAGTGAAGACCCATTTGCAACCAACAAACTTATTATCCGGTGATGAAGTGACAAATTCCAAAGTCTTATTTTTCGACAAGGCCTTAATTTCTTCAATCATAGCTTGCTACCATTTAGGATCTACAAAAGCTTCTCTCCTATTCTAGGAATAGACACAAAAAAAAAAACAAGGCAAAGGCTTTATAGGAGGGAGACAGGGAATTAAAGAAACAAAATTACACAAATGATGTTTGGTACAAGATCTGACTCTTTTTTTGTAAGAAATAGAGAAATCTAACTTACTAAGAAATGTAGATAACTCACCAGTAAAAAAGGGTTCAGCTTTGGCAAATTGCATGATGGCTTCTTCTGCTCTATTTTTCCTTGAGTCAGTTCTCAAATCAAGTCTATCCAAACCCCCAATAGTCTCCCTAAATTCTTTCTCCAATTTCACTTTCCTCGTATGGTAGTGGTAGTGGTTTCAACAGTAGAACTTGGAAAAATCATCTCTTCCTCCTTATACTTCTTTCTCCCCCCCACCCCCACCCAAGAAATGATGGTGTAATTCTAAAGAGGGTTCAACTTCTCGAAAGGTAACAACCATGGTGATAAAAGATCTCCTGGAGGGAGGATGATTAAATTTGTACTCTTTTTGTGTTGGAGAATATCCAATAAAGACATTTAAGAGCTCTAGGATCAAGTTTTCCAGAGTTCCTAGTGTGAACAACAAAGCAGACACACCCAAATACCTTCAGAGGAACAATATAATCATTCTTACCCTTTAAGTGGCATTCCATTGATGAGATAGGCAGCTTCTAGAATGCCAACCCCCATAAGGATTTGATAGATTCATGGTAAACATAAGATATCTTGCCACTTCTAATAAATTTCTATTTTTTCTTTCGCAACCCCATTTTGTGCAACTAGTACGATTTGACGGATTATCTCATAATACTCCAAATAAGCAGCAAAAATTTTATCCATGTATTCTATGGTATTGTCAAATCACAAGATTTTTATCTTAGCCTCAAATTGAGTACAAATTATCTTATAAAATGATTGAAAGCAGGAGAAAACTTCACTTTTGGTCTTTAACAAATATCCCCAAGTCATCCTAGTGCAACAATCAATAAAAGTAACAAATTGTTGACTACCAAACAGAGAAACTATTTGAATAGGACCCTGTACATCAGAATGAATAGTTGAAAAAGGAATTGTACTTTTATTATCACTCAAAGGAGAATAGTTTCTAGTATGCTTGGCATCTTGACAAGCATCACAAAGACAAAGATTCAAACTCGATTTTGAAAAATAAACTTAGGATAAGGATATAACTTCTTTAAAACAAAAAAATAATAGGTGCCCCAACCGTCTATGCCGCCGTATTATTTTTTGTTTGATATCCTTATTTCCTCCAAAATGGCTTGACCAAGAGTCTCGAGTTCCATCAGTCAAATTTAAGTTATCATACAATCCACCACGGTCAATCCTCTTCCTTCTTTGAAGATCCTGAAAAACACAATGATAGGAAAGAACTCGACACTATAGTTTAGTTTTTGGTGATGGTGCTACCAGGAAACTCAGGTACATGGAGAATGGCTGATAATGCAATAACAGGTGTACAGACAATAGAACTTGTTCCAGAGACAGGAGTTAAGTAGCCATTGGCTATTCTGACAAAATCCTTTTTGGGATTAGGAGAGTAGTTTTGAAAGCCTTGAGAGGAGCCTGTCATATGTCTATTCGCACCAGAATCAATAATCCAAGAATTAATGCGAACATTAAAGGCAATACCTGACTGCACATAATTGGAAGTGACAACATTAGAAGAGTCAATTTTGTTCAAGAGACGGCAAAGATGCCGAACTTCATCTAAAGACAGTTTCTCCAAAAGCAGTTTACTTGGATGTCTCCACATTTTCTGCAATATTAGCCTGACCTTTTACCAGAGCTACACGATTTCCCCCACAACTTCTAGTTGGTCTACCATGTAGTTTCCAGCATGTTTCCTTTGTATGGCTTGGCTTTCCACAATAATCAAAGTGTAGGTGATCTTTATTATAGGTGGTTGCCCTTGGTTGCTCCAGAAACACAACTAACCCAAACTTCTCAGTTAGTCTTGAATAAAACATTGACCACTCGTCGACTATCTTCTTGTTAAACATAAGAATATGCATCCTCCCGAGAAGGAAAAGGAATTTTACAAGAACTTGAACCCTGATCTGATCATACTCTTGATCCAAACCGTCCAGAAAATCATGGACACTTTCCTTTTTAATCAATTTTTGAAAGAGAACTTCATCTTTGATACAATTTGCTTGGAGATCTTGATAGCAGTCAATCTACTGTCATAACCCACTTAACTCGAAAATAGTAATCAGTGATAGTCAACTCACCTTGCTTAGTGGCATGAATTTTATTTTGAATCTCAAAGATCTAGGCATCATTTCCCTTACGAGAGTAAGTGCGCCTAGTTGAATTCTACATTCTTTCAGTAGTATCAAGCAATAAATATTTCTTAGAGGTCGTTTGGTAGAGTGTGTTAGAGAAAATAATGCATGCATTAGCTTTGTGTATTAGTAATGTTTTGTTT